ATTACTAGGACAGCAACCATTTGCTGACTGCTAATTCAAAAAAAAAAAAATGGTTTAGAAATAGGAATCTTGAACCCACAGTAAGAAAGCCTCCCCTATATATTAATTGCAACAATATTATTTTAGATTTTTCCAATAACTAGACTCGATAGAATTTTAAGATTTCTTCACTTTGTTGTCATAGGCGTAAATGACTAATGTGTCATCCTGATTTCAAAACATACCATTAATCTTTCGATATCCATTAATTAAAGTAAAATCAATCATAGGCCACAAGAATGCTCAACTTTGTCGACAAGCTAACATTTTGACGCAACAGTAGACTAAAACTGCTTTGACGACAGGAGGAGAATAATAATGTAATAATTGTAAGAAATGAAGAAGGAAGAAATTGCAACCAGAAAATTAGAGAAATTTTTTCTGCTTTCTATTCCGTTGAAAAATTGAATTGATTTTTGTACAAAGAATGCTATGTATATTTATACAAGTATATGTCAATTCACTCTCTAGCTCAGTGCCATTACAAGCATTATTTGCAACTGACTGTTAAGTAATAAATAAGAATTTGTATAACATATTAACATACAATGGAAAACGAAAATTCACTAAAAACCCGTAGCGAACAACAGAAAGTGTAAAAGAAATGGTAGTATCTTCAATATTTTTGTGCTAATGTTTACATCTTCCATTCTTGGGAAAAGGGTCTAATGTATAGTGGCCAAGCCTTCCAGTACGATACAAATTAAGCAATTTTGTAGCAACTATACCATAATTCTCATCATGATCAAATTCCTTAGGAAGATGAAAAACTCTGTGCAAAACTTTAAATTCGACTTCAATGAGGCGTGCCAGATCTTCCTCATTTTCCACATGACCAGCAAAAGACGAAATAGCCTCAGAAAGGGCTCGTCAAACATTGTTTATTATGAATCCCTGTATGAACAATCATCAGTGCCAATTAGATAAACTAAATACATAATGCTACGCAATTTTTTATTTTTATTTTTTTATCTCATACTCATTTATGATATATTGGTAAGTCTAGTACATTTTCCTTTATGTAATTAAGGAAATATTACTCTCGTACCTGAGTGTGATCTGTTGGATATTGCCTTTCCTGTCTTTTGACCAATACCGAACTCACAAGAATACTAGCTCCTTGATTAATTGTTGCTTGACCATTTTCAACCACCACCAACTTACCCCATTTCTTGTATTCATCACTCAAGCTAAGGATAGAGAGAAAATACTGAGCAAGTTCAATTTCTCCAACCACACAATCTCCGATAGCTCCGGCTTTTGGCAAAAAATTAAAAATAAAAAATGAAACCCGTTAATGGAAGGCATGTATGTGTTAGTGCATAGATCTGTGCATGCGAGTCTCTTACGTTTTTCTAAATTATTTTCCCCTAAGATGGAAAAATTGACTTTTGTTACTCGGCTTCCTTAGTACAAGCAGAGAGAATGATATGTTAATAGACATACCTGTTAAAGGCTAGGTTGGAGCATACTCTTATCATTAGTCACCTCGGGAGAAAAAACACCCGAGGTGTCTAAGACACAGATATTAGGATGGCTAGCTATCTTAAGTTGAAAACAACTGCTTCAGTCCATGATGGAAAAGAAGTTTTCTCAGGAACTTGGGAAATAATAAAGGAAGAAATATTCTAATGTTATGCAGCTTTGTTGTGTTGACATTATAAGCCAAGAGAAATATAAATAAGTGTGAAATCAGAGAACGTAAGACAATGGCTAGTGAAACCAGAAAATCACCCCACTTTTTACCAGCCAAAAGAAGTTGGCCTGAGGAGTGAGGAATAACAGTCAAATTAATGATGATTTAACTATAAAAATCCGGCTTTTTGCATTTGAAGAGTCTGTAAAAGAATTCATGTGCTTCTCTGAATATCAAATAAATTTAAAAAATGCACGAGAAAAGAATTTCAGACCTTGAAGCTGGTAATATTTTTGGTCTCTCCTGGATATGGACTAATGACAGCGTGCTTTAGCTTCCCTTTCTCTTTGAAGTAAAGAACATAGCATGGATTTAGAAGCAGAACAGAATTAAATCCAGGAAAAGGGAGACAGAAATTTGGCAATTCCATTTAAATGAATGAATACGTGAAAAGAATAGTGCTCTACAAGATAGTACTGGAAACGAATTGAGCACCTGCAGCACTAATTCTTCCAACATGATGCAAAGCATTGGCTAATGCAGATTTGCCAACTAACATTAATGTTATTGTATGACCAGAAATATTCAATTTCTTCAAATCCCTGACTCTGGCTTGTAGAAAGTTCAAGAACTGCAAGTTGTTAAAATTACCATACAATAGAGATATGATCATGAAGTCAAAGATCAAAAAGTTACCGATGCTGAATACCAGGATAAAATGGTGCTTAGATATAAGCTTCATAAAACACAACATCAAGCCAAACAAGAGTCGCAAACTTTTTTACAGGATTGATCAGACATCATTTTAAGGGTCCACTTCAATTTCTACACCATCAAGAGTCAGCATGCTACAATATTGTACACTTGTACAGTACATCTGACAAATAGCAGCATGTGCTGTTTGCATATCCATGCAATAACTGCTGCCATTTGAATCTGTTCTTGTACTGAATAGGGCACATGAGCATGCAACAAGCATCACAATAAACTTAATGAAATTATGAAAAGAACTTATCACATGCATCAGAATATATCTAATTAACATTATGAAATCAATAAAAGCTAAGATAGCTAGCTTCAGTCAAATCAACACGCACTTGAAAACTTTGCAGACTTACCTCCTTAATATTCTCCTTTTTTATGGGAACTGACTCCAAAAGCAATACATTTCTTTTCCTCAGAAAACTTCATCCAATCCTGAGCAAGAAGAAATCTAAGTTTATTTTTTTTAAATATAAACATGCACGTCAAAAGTGTAACGAAAACTAAACTTAGACAATTGAAAAAGGAGAATATGAAGCCCCACTTGCAGAATAATAGGCATTATACGAAGCCTACAGATAAAATTTTGTCAGTTGCATTTAAACAGGTTTTCTACAAGTATTGCAAGCCAGAAAGTTTAAGTATCCTTGATCTTGTGCAAAGGCCTGATAAAGATAAAACCCTTTTATGCTTCAGTACATGTAGCTCACAATTTTGGGATGATTCTCTGAAACCTTTACTATGTTTCAATACTGAAAGATGAATATATATTCAGAAAAAAGCTGAAGAAAATATGGTCATGGGATTGAGACTGATATATAATAATAAGCCTGGAACATTTTTGCTGGTTTGTAGACACCTTTTATACAGGATGCTTTCCCTTTTGCTAATTCTTTAATGACACTGGTTTATAAATAGAAGAAAACTCAGCCCCGTTTGGTAGCCATTTTTTTCAAAATGCATTTTTCTCTCTCTTCTTTACAACCACACATTCTTTATTAAAATAATATTACACGTAAATAAAAAAAAATTCCTTATTTTTCAACCACACATTTCACATCAATTTACTATTTTAAAATGCATTTTTACATAAAAATGACTTTCAAACACCCCCTCATTTTGAGTTTGAAGAAAACAGCTCGTAGATACAAAACATGAACAAAAATAAATAAATAAATAAATAACTTGGTGACAACCCATTTCCTTCCAAAAACACATAAATGCATAAAGGAAACAATTTCTCCAAAATTCCAACAGAACAAAAACAAAAAGTTTGCATAAATTACCCCTATCCCATAAGATTGATGTCAAGGTGAATGTTCAGATTGATGAAAAGCTCGCACATCTGCTTCCAAAGCATTTCCAGGGGAATAAAGCAAGGTAGAGGTCGCCATAGCATAGCTTATACGGCATTAACTTTTTTGTTTGTGGGCCTGTCTTCATCCCAGATCTCTCACCCTCCACACCATCATCATCATCCATAATTGCTCATGACAAGATATCAATGACTCGACCACTAAATGTGAAAATCCTGAAGATAATTCTCTGAAGCAGATGAGGCGTATTTGGTTATAAAACATCTGAGGGATGCTAAAATACAGGTCATGAATTCAAATGATTTGGACAATTCGAAGAAGCTTCTGGATGCTTTAATAAATTTTGTTATCGAAGAGCTCTGTGATAGTCGCTATGACAAAGGATTGGCCCAATGAACTTGTTTCAAGCAATGCTTGTGTGCTTATCCTTAGTTTTCTGCTGGGAATCCCAGCTGTTCATGTGTTTCTGCTCTTCAATTCTGAAGCAGGCAGCCTTGTCAGTGGAAGTACGCCAACTTGATGCAGTAAGAATCTTCTACCACTTCTGACTTACCTCTTTCTATCTATCTGGCTGTGGCTGAAATATGGATTCGTACCACCGTCCATCGTAACTCCACATATAATGGTATTAGGGCATAAATGTTTGATATGCATGACAGAAATTATGTGAAAAATGAATGGTTCTTTAATATTGCCTATAGATTTTGAATTTTCCCTGATTTCTTAGTTTGCAGATGCTGGAAGGAGTTATTTGAAATTCCATTCTAATATTTTTATGAATTTTATGTTTCTTTTGCTTGCTTGGGGCTACAAATTTTACTTCACATGTGAAATAAGTAATCACATGCGTATGAAAAGGCTGATGACCTATTTCTGGTTTCATGATTTCTTCATATAACTTGAATAGGTTTAATAAAACAATTTTAGGTTTCGATTACAATTTTAAAAAAAAAATGTCAGGTCAATCAAAAGAATTCCGAACCTAAAATCATGTAGGTGAGAAGATCTTATTAGAGAAATGCAATGAGGAAAGCAGATAAGTAGAATCAACCAAAGTATAAATGATTAACTAAAAAGGGTTATAATGAAAAGAGAGAAGGAAACGTTGTTGACTGGATAAGTTATGAGAAGTATCCTAGACCTTTGTGAATTGTGGATGAAAAATTATTTATATTGACTAAGCCCAAGCTTAAGGAGGAAAATAAGTTGATACTGAGTCTGAAAATAAAAAATTAAGATACATATGCTAAGAATCACAATTGAAAATTAACATTTCAGGCTCGTTGAATTACATTGAAGCATTTTACAAATCCATAGGACCATGTAATAAATTGCAAAGACAGACAATCGAAACCAGAAATCCCAGTAAATAATGTGCTTCAGCAACACCACATGAAGTATCAGGGCAGAAAAAAATTGAGTGGGGGGTAATATATGTGATATAATCATAAGATAATGATGAAATGATAAATGATTCATCAGCAAACAAATTTTACAAGGAAACAGTGCGTCTATAAAGTATTTCATCATCACTCTCATACTCTTCTTCTGACACAATCTCACTCCCCGTAAGCTCCAACTTGCCACCCATAATAAATGTTGGACCGACACTCTCTGCCTCAATATATTCACCTTTCAATCTCTCTTCAAATCTCTGATCACTACAATTGAGGAACCATGCGAGAGAACATCTAATCCCCCTGCTTTGTAACTTTTGGTACCTTGGTTTAATCCTTAACTCCAAGCTGTAAGTAAAGTACTCGGGGAACTCTACAAGCTCTTTCACTGGCCTGCCCATTTCACTCTTGAAATAGTAATAACTGTTTTTCATGAGCCCAATTTGCAGAGAAAGTAATTGAGGACACTTAACGACCATTTTTGCCACATCATCAGCAGGAATACCCCGACCAAGAAGGAAGTCAACAGGTTTCATAATCACATTTTGGTTGAGGCTAACAATTTGTGGCATCTTTTCAATCACACGAGCAAATCCATCAGGATCAATCTTGAGCTTCAAGTTGAAGAAGTATTGTTGTGATGACAATTTAGCCTTCAAAGGCAGTCCAAGAATTTGTGGATACTGTGCAATAACCGAAGCAAGCGCTTCCTTCCTAATCGCAAAACTCATTAGACAATCAACATTTGGTTTCACAGTCTCTTCAAGATCATACCCAAGTATATATGCCCGCTTCTCAAACATCCTTGCCAAAATCTTTTTTGGTAAACCCAATGAGACCAAATAATCCACAAGCGGCTTAATCATGGTACCAACCCTCATTCCCAAGAAATACGGATATTGTGTTGCCATAGGGCCTATATCCCTTGGATTTACCCCTATACTAACTAAATATGCTACAGAGGTACTCATTGTCCCCTCTAGCTTAAACCCTAATAACTCCGGATATTTCATCAAAACATACCCAATATCTTGCTTCTCAATATCAAGCCCCCGTAAAAATTTAAGCACAGGTACAAGCTCCACCACCACACTAGCATGAAGGCACTGTGGATAATTCTTCAAAAACTCACCCATCTTCGCTCTCGGGATCCCAATCTTCTCTAAGAATCCTAAAACAGGGATCATATTTTTTCGTACACTACAGCCAAGCATTAGTGGGTACTCATTAATGTCATCAATCGTGAGTCCTAGCTTCTGCAAAAACTCCACACGTTCACGCATCACTTCAACTGTTGATGGCAATTCAAGGTCCTCCAGCTCATCAGTGAGTATACCTATTGTTTTCAAATAGTCACAAATAATGACCCTGGACACGAGCTTTTCCTTTCGGCCTTGGATCACGCCCCATGTAACAGAAGGCATCTCATATTCTGGGAATTTTGATGACTGGGCCGAAAAATGTCTTTGCAATAAATGTTGAAAACATCGAACTTGAGGGTTTTGGAAAGGTTTAAGAACTGGAAAAAGAAATGACCTTTTCGAGGTTTGGAGTAAAATAGTCTGTAAAGATTGGAATTTTCTAAAAAGAGAGTTCATTTTTGTCAAAATTTATGGAAAATGGTTATCGAAAACTGACTATTGATTGATTAAAGTTTAAATGCTAAAATTATATTTCAGCATCTGTATCTACATCCATGTATATATTTCGAACCAAAATCCTAGATTTATTTAATTTCGGTAAAGAGACCTACACGTACATGAAGAAATATAGGACACCAGCACCACTATGGAGAAACTGGCGTTCTGCGGTAGAAAAAGGGGTAGGGTTGAACAGTGACCAATTTACCCGAATTGAAGTTTGGGAGCCTGGGTCAGGGGCAGACCCAGGAAGTTTTTTCAATATCAGCCACAAACCCAATGATTCAGTGCACTTCTTCAAAAATATACTATTATGTACGAAAATAAAATCACGTCATGCGGTAATACCCTAACACGAATCTGCTACCTGTAGCGTGAAAAAAACATAATATTAAAAAGTTAACTACCATAAACAATCAAACTTTGGACGAAAACCAGTAAAGCCCTAAATTTTAGTTTATGCCCTAAAATCCAATTTCAAAATTTAGCAACAAATGAAGTGCAAAACATACTAGAAATCAATAAGAAGATCCATTTTAAATCAAATATGAGATGAGAAATTGAGAGTAACATTATAACACAGTAAAATCTTGATGCTAGAAAAAGAGAAAAAATTGGCGGTGGCCAAAAATCTTACACCAAAACAAATTCCACACCACATTGATGCTAGAAAAAGAGAAGAAAGGGATCTTTAATGGAGAAATTACCTTTGACCGAGGCTTGAAGTGTGTATTTCCTAGCACAGCAGAGACATAAAGATACATAAGAGGCCGAGGGTCGAACTCTTGAAGCCAGCAGGGACGTATTCTAATTGAAGGTCAGCTGTTGGAACAGCCGAACCTGGAACACCCGCGTTACCCACCATCAGTTTGTAAAATTGGGCCAATTATTTGGCCCATTTCAATCTTTTTTTTTTTCAAAACTTCATAGTTAAGAGAATAATTATTACCCATTTTTTAAGTAAGAATACAAGTTTCAAATTTCAAAAATCAGCACATATTTACAATTTATTTAGTCACATATTATTTTTTGATCACAAATCAGAATTTTTAATGTCACAAATTATTTTACGATCACAATTCCAAACTTTCATAGGTCACAAATTTATTCGTCAGTCACAGATCAAAAATTTATACGTGACAAAAACTTACCGTTTTAGCCTCATTATTTATCATTACATTAAATTAAATTTTTCTCTCTTACTTTTAACCATACAATTTTCAATAAAATAATATTACACGTAAATCAAAAAAATTTCAACTACTCATTTTTCAAAAAAAAATATTATTCATCTCATTATAATGCAAAATAATAGGGTTTAAACACACCCTTTATTTATAGGTCACAAATCACAAATATTATATATCACAATTTATTAAACAGTCACAAATTATTAATTTTTTAGATTTCCCGTTATTTTTTATAACAATTTATATTTCTTATTGGTCACATTGGTCATGGATTAACCAATTTAAATAATCACAATCAACCAATTTATCCGCGACCATAACCAAACAACCACTGCTTCCAACATTACCAATGTCATCGTCACGCTGGAACCACCACCACCATCACCCTACAGCAACACCACGTCTCATATAAAATCAACACATCAGACATCACACACACACCTCACACCACCATCACACTATCACACCACACACATCCCCATACCACCACCACACACACACACCCCTACAGCAATACCGCCACACCACACACACCCCTACACCACTGCCACACACTGCCATACCCCACACACACCATCGCCAAAGGAGCCACCATAACACACCATCCCACCCACATCACACACCACAGCCTACACCTCCATCAGCCATGGAACAAATCCCACCCAATCACTGCCAAAAACTATCATAACCACCAACATCGGCTTTGATGATTTTGACCACCCGGATCCCCTACCACCATGCAACCACCACACCACTTCGACCACCAAACAACATCTTCTCCACAGTCATGCACAATATTTGAATTGCAACGAAAGCTCCGCCACATCCACACCAAATTGGCGATTGCTGCGTTTTCTCATCCGTTATCTCTACTCTCAATATCATTCACACCACCACTCCTCCATTGTCATCGTGCCCATTACATGTAAGATACTATCTTCTTCCAATTCTCGTCTAAAATTATTAAAAAAGATATATGCTTTTATGCAACTTAAAATTACGTACGAACACTTGGGGCCTACTTGAGAGCTTTTGGTACTGGTTATGAGGCTTTTTAAATGATCGAGTTTAGGTGTTTAAGACAAAAAATTACTTTATTACTAAAATATTACTTATAAGTAAAAATTTATTACAAGACAAAAATTCACTTTTGTGTACGAAGTTGCTTATAAAGTATAAATATTAGCAATAAGACAAAAATAATTAGTTTTGAACAATATACGAGGATTTAAGGTAATTATTTTAGAAAGTAAAATTATTTTTAAAAAAATCGTCGATTTAATGAATTGAGAAATACAATTCAAATTAAAACTCCACTGTTAGAGACCACCCAAAACAATTACGCTAAAATAATTAACAATCACTGACTTTTTTCAAATTCCCACAAAAGGTGTCACTCGAAAATGATTGAAATTAGTGGCCAGTGTGGAAAGAGTGCCGGCCCTTACCATCCACATGTTTTGTCAAAGTTTATAATTGATAATAATTTTGTCGTAATCTATTTTTATTCATATATTTCGTAAAATCAACAACTTTTATCTACTCTTCAATAATACATTTCTCGAACCCAATATTAACAATTAATTATAAGCTTTGACAAACTACCTTTCCATTTTTTTAAGGAATTAAAACAAAAATGACTTTTTTGTGATGTTAATTGCAATGCAGCTGTTATACATTTATTTGCTGAGCACATAGCATATTTTTTGCCATTCGCAATTCCAATGCTTACAACAGTGGTGAGTGGTATTGGATCGTCGGTTTCTTGGTGTTGATTGGCATCTAGGCGTCGATTTCTCTACAGTAATTTTTCATTCTTTTCTCTCTTCTTCACCCGGCCATCTTCCACTAATTCCTCATGAAAAATATGCAGCAACACCAGGACGGAACTAATAGCTTGCAGAGGTTTAACCACCATAAATTAAGGACACGTCGTTCTGTTCTGCGAACGGCATATAGCTCAAAAACTTGTTTGAACAATTTGTTATGGCGCCTTTCATCACTTTTGTCTATTCTTTTCAGGTATTGGGCACTGGCTGTGCCAACTTATGTAATAGTGACAGTAGTAATGGTAATTGGATTTTACATTGGCTTGAACTTTATGGCTACCCCTCCTCCAACGTCCTTGAGCACGATGTTTGGTATAATCTAATGTGCCTTTCTTGAAATGGTTTTAAATCTATGGTGGGTTTTTCCTGGCTTTCAACAAAATCTTTCAAAAAAAAAACAAAAAATACATGAAACGTGAAATCCTGAGGCAGAACAAGAATCACTACGCAAACATTTTTAACTCGCTTCTCATCAAGTTATCATGTTATCGAACCCAATCCTTGTCTGCTCTGCAGATGAATTCGGTAGAGAACAACGCAGTGACATTCCCTTGACCGACGACGATGAGAAACCCATTGAACCCGTATCTGACATTGGCATTGATCAAATCAATGTCATCATGTTCAACAATATGATCGTGAATCCCGCCTCAGGTATAGTTCATTTTAATGAAATTGTCTTGTCATGGAGAGATTTTGTTTCGGGTCCTCATTCATTGGCATTCATAATTGATATGTTGTGCGCACTCGCACACAGGAATATGGTATAGATAATCATAGAGATTGAAATTGGATATTCTGTTGAGTTCCAGATCCCAAGCAAGCCTATCAGAAAGAACTAATCAAATATATTGCAGGCTGGTGCTGTAAAAAATCAGCCAGGCCTATTCCCAGTCTTTATTTTTTTTTATTTTTTTTCACCGAGTCCATCGGCCTTCTTCTTTAACATACTCGATTGTAGTAATAAGCTGCCTTCAAATTTAAGCAAAAGAATTTACAGACTTAGCTCAGCCAGAATAGAGAAAATGAACAGGGGAGAAATTGAAACAAAATAATTGTTATACCAGGCTACAACTTTAAAGGTTATGACCCAGAAACAGATAACAGTAAGTAAATAAATCACATGCCAAATATTGTGTGTGCAACGAACAAATCTCAGCTGTCAATGAACAATCATAAAACAAAATCACCGTTATAAAGTAATCTATAATATCATACATAAGATACGTAATGCTCTACCGTATAAGTTCATCGAGCCCATGACACTGAATCGACCTCATCTCTGGCTTTCTTGTATAGTTCAAGCCTTTTAGCACATTGCAGCCTTCTCTCCATCAAGGCTGGATCTTCGTCCAGCAAGTCAGCAAGTTGCTTACCCTGAAATAGAATCAAAACCATTTATTACTACTAACTTCAAGTGAATGACAAAGCTAATCGTAGTAATTATCCAAAAGAACAGTCATAATGTTATAACGGTAAACACAGTATCTAAAGAAATCTGCCGCTAAAGGAATTAGTCAAAGGTGCAAAAAATGGTAAGAGGTTTCAAATTTAAATCCTCAAAATACACATGGGCTAAATAAACCTACCCCCGATCAAGTTTATGAGACATGATGAACTGCTGAAATTATTAGAGACTTCACAAAATATTTATTTAAATCATGTCTTCAGCATGCCCCCTCATGTGCGGACCAGATACATGCACAACTCTCATTAAAAGCTTAGAAAAATGTGATCTGCCCCATCTAAAAGCTTAGAAAAATGTGATCTATTCGAATTATGTCTTGAAACAAAACCTATGAAACTGTGTTTGTGAATGAATTCTTATATGAAACTTCAATTGCACCATCTTTTATTTCAATATCTACTAAAAGTGACAAGAGAATCAGTACCTCTTTCTTCCCAATTTGCGTGTAAAAGTAATTGAGTAAACACTGTTTCGCCTCCTTAACTTGACAGTAAACCACTGCCTTGGGAATTGTGTTTCTCAAAGTATCAGATATCATATTTATATAAGATGACACATTTGATGCAATCCTCCTGAAGTGTCCCTCCGAGATGCGATCAATGGTATTGGCAGCTGCTGGATTTCCCGGGTTTCCCACTTTCTCAACTTCTTGGGGAAGTTTCCGGAAGAAATCAACAGTCAGATATGAAGATTCCATGTCAACCAATCTAATGACAGTTTTCTTGCTTTCCTCACGAAATCTTTCCAAGGCTTCGTTGGCTGCTCCAGCTATGGTCGATTGCAGTGTTGGAAACCGTTTCAATTCCTGTTTCGCCACAAAAACGCAGAAAATAAGTAGGGTATTTAAATCAATTACAGAATAATAACGCAATTATTAACCACGTATAACTCACCTTACACTCCCCAATTGACTTCCTGACAAGTTCCTTCAAGACAAAGTGAACCTGAACAAAGTTTAATTCGTCAGTTGTGACATAGCCAGAGCACATAATTCGATAAGTCATCTTCCCAGTGAAGTATATCAGCACTACTTACAGCATCAACAGAAGCTTCAGCAGGCCCCCTAAAATAATTTAATGATCCCTCAATAAGCCGCCGATATCCTTGCTCAGGAGCAATCAAGTGTGGTTGATAACCATCAGCTTCTGAAACGATTTTTCTCACATTTTGCAAAGAAAGATGCCGATCAAATGGGAGTTTTCTCAAAGCAGCTGGCAGCTGATTGTCAAAAACTCCATAAATTCGATCACCGCCTGGTCGGCTGAAACGATGAACCAGATAATTAGCTAATAATCATATGAGATCCTACGGTATAAGTAGCAGCAGCTAGAAAACAACAAACTAATAGCATGATCAAGCAAAAATTGGGAAAGTAACACTTTCTCCCAATCTATAACAGATGATTATTTTGTCCTGTAAAAGCTATTGACCAAGTTTAAAAACTTGAAATTTCCATTTTACAAAAAATTCCCACTGTAAAGAGTAAAGGGCTGGGATTATTTTAGGGATCGCGAGGCCTGTCAGGAAGAAACAACTCTACAAAGCCACATATACTCAAAGAACACTTTCTCAAAATTATTCAATACAAGGTGCAGAAAACAATATGACAAAAAAGAACTTAGTAGATCAAGTAAACTATCACCCGTGTCGAAACAGAATAGTGAAAAAGGAACCAAGAAACCATTCATTGATTGTCAGAAGTACCAGTGACATCGAAGAGAAGTAAAACATACAGTTCCCCAAAGTTTAAGCACAAAACACACGAAGTTGATTAATAATGGGTTCAAATTTCCAAATGCAAAATTTGGGGTTTGGTAGGCAAAAAGAAATTTTCATACCCTCCCTCCAAATGCTCCTTAAATATCCGGTCAAAAGCGCGACAAAGTTCCAATATAGTGTATAATTGAGCCTGAAATCCACGTCAGTTGCCAACAAAATTTGTAGACTTCAATTCAAAAATCACAATGGGGAATTCTAGAAGCTCACCCCTGCATCAACAGCAATAGGCCTTCCAAGGTGATCCATCTCAGATTCAAGTTCATCGATGCTTTTGTTTATCAATGACGTGATACTTGGTATTCTAGCTCTAATTACAGATTCCAAGTGCTGAAATACAAAATATTGATCTATGTGAACTCTGCTCAATGTAACTTAGCAGGAACATTGATATTAAAATGTGATGTCTACTAAAATATACCCTCGAGAGAAGCTTTGCAAGATACTCTGAACCCATTTTACTGGCCAAGTGCCCATAGTCAGGACTTGTAGAAAAATACTCACGCTCCTTTCTTCTTGCAATAACCATATCAACATTTTTATTGATATCTGCCTGTGAACGATTCACGATACCCACCCAGGGATGCTGTAAACGGTAAGACCTTCCTTCAAGAACCTATTGAGAAAAAAATTGAAAGATTAGTTGAAAGCTTCTGGTCTTGACAAGCAAACTAAAAAGGGAAGGGTTGGCTGGAAGGGCGTAGAGATGCTGTGAAAGGGGGAACACAATGACAAAACATCTGATCAATAAACTATTTGGATAATGGAAGACAAAAGGTAAAAAGAAAACAATTTCAAAACAACTAAATCATAGAACTTTATTCATATCGCTATTAACTAAACACCACACGATATCTTAAATTATCAAGACTATAACATCCCAACAGTAAACGTTCTTATAACTCTAGCCAGTAGTTGTATATGTATATGTGAGAAAGACACAGAGAGAGATCTCACATCCAACGCATTAGTTCCTTTGTCCATCAGATCTAGCTTTGTCAGCACTCCAAACGTGCGCTCACCTGCATAAGTTGCAAATACAGCTTCATAAATATGGAAATCACCAATTGTTGATATGACAGTTCTCACAAACCACAATTCAATTCATCAAATAGCAAACAGAGCATACCAGTCGGATCCACTTCCCTTGCCAGCTTAATAGCATCTGATGTTGCAATATCTTGATTTGCCGGAGATATTGCCAGTATGATGCAGTTGGGCTGCTCATGAAACGAAATCATCAGGTATAATGACAAAACATTTGTACCATCAGGTTCAACATGGACATTTATATATAGTACACAGTGTGATATGAAGCCTTTACATTCATTCCATGTGCGTAAAACATTTAAAGGTTTAGGCATGCTAGAGAGAAGTACGCTGAAGGGTATAAAAGCAAACATATTTTAATTAATCTTCAGTTTTAGACAACTATGATAATCAATTTTACATCAAGATAAAGCAGATGGTTCAGTAACAATTAAACTGAATAAATGACGCTAGTGTTTAAAAAAAAATTCAAATTTACCTTCTCAACATAAGACCGAACCATATTTTCAATGTCTTGGACTATACTTTCCGCTTGGCCCTCTGCAACGAATTGACGCCTCTATTAGATTAAGTTCACATCAACTGAATGATATACCAATAATTAGAAGAAAAACAAAAAACAAAGTACCAACGGCAACTTTTGTTAAACCGGGTAGATCAATTAGAGTTAAGTTGACCACTGCAAGATAAAAGAAGTCATAAAGCATCAGTGGTAGGAAGATGCAGCATATTGGAAAACACCATTCCTTTTGATAGAACTAAGAGAAATTGTAACCATGAGAATAATATACCATTAGGGGAGTAAATACTGAGGTGAATAGGAACAGGAGAAATCTGCTTAGTCTTCCCTGTGATTCTCTCCGTTTCATCACTAATTTCCTTGCGAACCAAGGCTGCATGAGAAAATGTAATCATGAAACACATTTCCTTTATGCAATTTAATTCAATACTGGTGAAACACTTAAAGTAAGAGACTTCGGGATGCCAGGAAGATGCCTACTCTCTAAGTAAATGAAAGACTGTATTAAAAAGTCTCAAGTAGATCTTGTTTTCACTCTCTGAATTCACTTTATAAGAGAAAGATAGTGCCCCCAAAATAATAAAGAACGAAAACCAGTCAGTTGAATTCACATAATACAACTTTCCTTTCAACTACCCGTGCACATTCAGTTCTTAATTTTTCCATAATAAACCAATTTTTGAATCTCAGGTCTGCTTACAAACACAATGAAGTTTCCCAAGTCATTATGTAACTTCAACACGATAACATATTAAAACAACAATATAAATGACATCGATAGTGAAACAAAGGCATAAAAATATACAATAATAGAAAGCCAAAGTTAAAATCAGATTTGTCATTCATCCCAGAAAAGGAAGCAGTAGAAATTCCACATACCGAAATCAGTGAATCTTCTCCTCTGCATATGTCCAAATTCTGCATATTCGTGCTGCCCTTCCTCTGTCTTGTGAAGTTGCAACACCAGTGGCCGCCTTGTAACAATGCCTAAACTCAAGATCCAAAAAAGTAGGTAAATTATATTGCAAATGCCAGCATTAATCAAATTTCATTTCCAAGCACAATGAAAATTATAGGAATATATACAATATCAGAGTAAAGGTGGGGCTAACCAGAGCCACGGGGAAGGAAATCACGTCCTACGATGCTCTCCAACACCGAGGACTTCCCTGAACTCTGTTTTCAGCTCAAATCAGAATACGAAAGCCACAAAAATATTAACACTGTTCAAATTCATTACACGAAATAAAAATTCAACAATTTTACCACCACCCATCTATAATTTTGAATCAATTAAAAATTCCTCTCGATCTTTAAATAAGTAGTAATTTTTCTCATTTATCTGAGTGGATCTGCAAGTTCCTCTAAATATATCTCACAATGATCGAGATGTTCCTGGCCCGATTTCTTACTTTAACAGTTCAACTATATTTGACATAACAAAAACTGTTATGTAAAAATCCTGACCTGCCCACCTACGACGGCGACGGAAGGAAGAGCGTCCCAAAGAGAAGAAAAAGCCTGATCGCCACCGCCGTAGTCACCGAGGGCTGTGCAAGCCCTCTGAATCCTGTTCACCAGTCCAATCAAACTCTCCATTGTCGTCATCTTCTTGCAAATTCAATTTCTTCCTCTCTTTTAACACTAATAATATAGATCTAAATTGTAAGACTACGAATCAATTTCAGCTCCAAGGAAACGAATCGGGAAAGAAAAACTACAGGAAAATTGGTGAAAATAAACTCAAGATTTAAAAGTTTAAAAGTAAGAATTAATTGGACTTAAAAAATGGACGCGAAGTCAGAGAGGGAGAGAATTGAGGAGTTGAAATCGGACTGGTATTTTCCCAAAGCTGTAAAAATGGCCGTAATATCTTCGCATGAACTTTGGGTATAATGCGCCAGGTGCGCAATGTTGTCTTAACGTGTGGTAATTTGGGCGGTGCGCGTGACCGCATCAATTGGGTCGGACTCTACAGATAATCGACCGTTTGGTGTTGTACCTCTAGTCTTTATAATTATTATTATTTTTTAAAATTTAAATGTAACTTTGAAATTTTGAATTTTGAAATATGGGTTGCACCGGCTAGCCCCTCGAGTTGGTGGGTCATTCATATGCTTCCAAATAATAACGTGGAGTGGTTAATTTTAGCATGCATTTGAGTCCCAATTTTTGTTAAGAATGTATCTTAAATCCTTGTTTGTTTTCCGTTCTTTTTTCATTAAAATAAAAAATATAATCATTATCTATCATATCAAGTCATCAAATTTGAATTTTTATCTCTTATCTGAGATCCATAACAATTATATTTTTCATTCTCATTCTTAAAAAAATGAAAAACAAACATTCCTTAAAATAATAGATTGGTGAAAATAAAATTATAATATTATTTTAATAAAAAATTTATGGTTGAAAAGAAATAAGAGAAAAAATGCATTTTTAAAAAATGAAGTTCAAACAAAGTTTAAGCCCCTATTTGTCATAATTTACTTTACATTATTTCCCATTATTTCTTCTACAATACTCATTTTTTACCACAAATTCTTTATTAAAATAATATTATACGTAAATAAAAAAAATACTTCTTTTTTAACCACACATTTTTCATCAATCGCTCTTCCATAATAAATTTTTTTAAATTAATAAGGTTCAAACAGAGCCTAATTTAGCATAAAGAATTTAAAAATTGCGTTGAAGTATACATTGATTGGGAGGAATTGCCCAGTATTTTCGAAAAATATATTTTATAAAACAGTGATTCTTTTTTTAGAATATTTGATTATAAGTATAAAAATTATAAATTTACGTGCAGAATTATTTTATTTAAAGAATATGTAACTGAATATGAGTTAAAAAACGAATTTTTAGAGAATGGGGCTCAAGCATGAACTTGACCCATTTGGCAAGTCAATATATAAGTGATGTATAAATTTAATTAAAATTAAAATTTAATTTTAATCATATTCATAGATATTATTCATTTATTATTCAACAATTTCTTGGAATTAACTATTATTCATATTTATAAACCATTTATAAATGTGTCAAGTACGTATTGGGATATTCTTGGGTATGAATTAAGCTCTTGTTTGAGCCTATTTTTTTTTATCAAAATACAATTTTCAATGGTGATTTGTTCATATTTTAATCATACATTTTTCAATAAAATAACATTATATATAAACACAAATTTTTTCCTTATTTTTTAACCACACATTTTCTATCATAACAATATTGCAAAATACATTTTTTGGAAAAAAAAGGGGGGGGGGGGGGGGGGGGATATTGCAAAATGCATTTTTTGGAAAAAAAAAAAAAAATGGGGCCCAAACAACCCCTCGATAAGATTTCACCATGTGTCTACTAAGAATATTGAGCTATTGTTTGAACCTCATTCTTTTCATAAAGAATGAATTTTTGAATAGTGCATTTATGAAATATGTGTAATTAAAAAATAAAGAAAACATTTGAATTTACGTGTAACATTATTTTATTGAAAAATATGTATTTGAAATGATATCAAAATACTATTTAAAAATGTATTTTTTTAAAGAATGGGACTCAAACAAGGGACTGAATTTGTACAAGAATTAGAATAACTCAAATACGATAAGAAATGATGATTTCTTGTATTTACAAATGAAAATTTATCACTTATTTATAGTTTTTCATTTATGCACCACGAAAATTGTAACGCCTCGAACTCTTTTTCATTATTATTGTTATTTTCAAATAAAAAATGAGCTCAAGGTACTACCAAAACTTTTCTCTATCTAATTTAGGCGGAAACATATCGAAAATATTTGATTTCAAATATTTAAACAACATAATAAATATCGTGCATAAATATTAACACAATGATATTCTTTATATAAATTGACTATTATCTTTTCTAGAAATTTTACTTAACGACCACATTAGCGTCGCTCCGTCAATCTTCCACACGTCCTCACGACCCGTTCTTATCTGAAAATATTGTAAGAGTGAGTATTTTGAAAACACTCAGTAAGAATACGTGCACATCCTTTTTCACATGATATAAATATAAAAATAGCATAACATACCAACATTTCTTAGGAATTTCTTAAGAATCCCCATATCCCGTAGGATTTAACTTCTTTTCTTTGACCTGACGGTCTATCCCGAAGGATTTAACTTCTTCTCTTTGACCTGACGGTCTATCCCGAAGGATTTAACATAGCATTCGACCCGAAGGCCTTAAAGTATCTCACGCCAAAATTTACATATATATCACGGAATAAGAATTTATTACTTGTACAATGTATTCTTACCTCAATTGACACCAAAGAATTTCTGAAAATGATTTATGAAATAAAATGATATTCCTTCTCAAAAGTATGAGTGTGTGGAGACGTGTGAAATACTAATAATCTGTATGAGTAAAGGAGAATTTGTCACTTCAGTGCTCTCATATCCACTTTTATACGCAGAACATGTGACTATAGAGATTCTAACGTAATTTGATATTAATTAGGTTTCATGTGGGTTAATTACTCTATCACTAATGAGCTTAATAAATTTTCAATTTTCGTTTCATTTCCCCAAGTAACCGTATGAATTAAATTGGAAATGAAAGTTTTGTTTTTATTATTTTATTATTATCTATATTAATAAAATATTAAATACTAGCACTTTTCTTTTTATTAGAATAACTCGGACAGGACTAATCCAAAATTACTTTTTCTTAATTCCAAATTTATACTATTTGACAAGAGCTATAAAATGAGTATAATATCGATATATTTTTAATAACTTTTAAAATACTTAAATATTCGATCCAAATAAGTTACGATAAATTAAAAATATACGCTTGCGGAATAAACCATTTATGCAAATAAGTGGGACGTGTTTATCACTTCAATTTTTCGACTTTAGTGTGACGACAGTGTTGGACATGGATTATTTTATTTGTTAAATTACCAACCCACGTGGAAAAATTTAAAATTCGGAGTGTTACAAAAATGTTCCAATTATTCATGAAAAAACATTAGAAAATCAAGTTTTGAGACTAGCCTACTAATCATGCACGCACATGGTTCACAACCTTTGGCAGCTCTGGTAAAAATACATAAATAAAATACTATAAAAATAAAAATTCAAATTCAACAAACTTGTAAAATAGTTTCACAAATCAGGTGTTAAATTATAATAGCAATAATAATAAAATATATATATTTATGCTGGTCTGATACGAAGAGGATGGTATCAAATTTTGGCTGATACTCTGCACGTCATGTTGACATTTTCAAGATTTTGACGATGTTTACTAGCATTAGCCTTCAGATCCGTAGTTGAGAAATGCAACTTGTCCCAACTCGGGGACCGACCAAAATCCAGGGTGCCGAGGTGGCAACACCTCAACCCTTGGATCTGATAAAAAAAAAATGAAGTTGAAATCGGGAGCTGAGGTGATGCCACCTCACCCCCCTGTTTTTGGGTCGGTCCCCGAGTTGGGACCTGTAGCATGTTTGTCCATAGTTAAGTACTAATATGTGCAGACCAAAATCAAATATTTCTATATTTGGAGCATGAGCAGGAGCATGAGTTGGTTTTCTTTTGCACAACCAGTCTAAAGTATCGATATGTATGGGTGACACAGGAGCCCAGGCTTCAGGCACCGCTCTTGCTGCAATGGCTTCTTGTACACGAATATTCCTTCGCTGTTTATTTTATCTAAAATTTTTATCATGGAAGCACTTTCGATTGAAATTCAAGTATTGTTATCCACATGTGATTATTCTCAAAGCCTTGGCAAAATGCTTTATTCTTTTTAGTGCTTCTGGAAGATTTGATGAGGGGTTAAGCTATTTCAGTCGATGAAAGGGAAGAGGATGAAAGATTTAGGGCTATCTACATATCGAACTATGATCAAGTGGTTCTGTAAAAAAGGTAAGCCTGGGGAGGCTCATAAGATGTTTGAGGAAATGCACATAAGAGTTATCAAAGTGCATAATGAAACATTAGGGTCAAAGAAATCAATGGATAAAGAACACCCACAAGAATTCCAAGGAGCCACAAAAGACACATAAAACTCCATACAAAATTTGGGGTAGTTTTGATATTAGTGTAACAGGAGAAGCCTTTTGGTGCTCCTTTTCCATCAAATAATAAACTTGATTATTGAACGGATCCGCATAAATTTTTGTTCTCAACATAAGGCCACATAATGAAATCATACTTCCTCATTTTTGGTTTGTGCCCATTGTGAATTGTATTGCTTTATAGCTTACATGTGCCTTTAACTTGAGTGTGGTGTTTACAGCATTAACTTCATTTCTACCTATTTTATTTATTCATTGCCTTATAAGTACCAAATTTGGTTAATGAAGACTCACAGAGATTCTGCAAATCGATGAGCCTTTAGTTGACAAAGTATATTTAAGTGCCAGTTTATTGCTAGAGAAATCTAGTACTTGGAATTTTACGCGCCTTTTAAGTGCCAGAGAAGGTCACAATTAACGCAGGACCCTCTCTAGTTTGAGTGTTTGTGACATGTAATGCATTGAATTTGACCAATTGTTATCTATCTATGAGTATATTTTTCTCTCAATTTAAATTCACATGTTGTGAACATGTTTCTATGTTTCCTAAAATCTCAGTATAACTGTGGCCTATTAAATGTAACAAGATCTTTCATAAATGTGATTAGTTGTGATCTGATTTGTCTTACTTTCACTGTATAGGACCATCATCATTTTAACTATGGCTGCATGTGAATATATCGTTGTTAACAATGTTTCTGTGATCTAATAGGTGAACAATTATTTTTTGATCAATTTTGTGTTAATTGTGACTATTTGTGACCTTTTATATGTTAGCCGTGATTCTCTGTAACTAAATTTGTATATTTGTGACTGTCTATCATCAAGTCTATTTTCACCGTGAA